ACACGGACACACAGACAACCTCTCGTCAATATGCGTTTTTCGCATAGCATTGCTGCAAAAAACGCATGTTACAACGACTCTGTCTGTGTGTGTGCATGCTTGTGTGTGTGTTCGTCTGTCCAACTATTTCAACTCGGCAGCTAAACAAGTTCTAGCGCCATGATTTTGCTAGTGGCTTCCCCGGCCAAGTGCTACCCCAAAGCCGCGGTACCAACCCCCATGCAAGTCTGGGCCCCGCGTATGAAAGGGTGAAAGTTTTGGCGGGAAAACTGATAACTCGGGAAAGAGAAAAGACAGAAGGCTGAAATTTTGAGGTTATTTTCCCCGCCCAGATATAACTCAAAGGTTTCATATTCAGCCCCCGGGTTTGCATGGTTCCCGCGTACAGCCCCATGAGGGTTCCTGGCGCGAAAATCGCTAGCTTGGGAACCAGGAAAGCTGGGAGGCTGAAATTTTCAAAGAATGTTCCCTGCATCGGTACAACATAAATCTATCAAATTCAGCCTCCAGTCGCATGTTGTTCTCACATATGGCCCCGTGTAAATTTTGGGCGCGAAAATCGCTAAACTGGGAACCAGGAAAGCTGAGGGGCTTAAATTATCAATGTTCCCAGTCCATGTACGACTTAAAATTATAAAATTCAGCCACCAGGCATGCGCGGCTCTCACGTACGGCACCGTGTTAATTTTGGGCTCGAAAATCGCTAACTTTGGAACCAGGAAAGCTGGGAGTCTGAAATTTTCAATAGACATTCCCAACCCATGCACTTCTTAAAATGATCAAATTCAGTTCCCAGGCACGCGCGATTCTTACGTATAGAAACTTTTCCGGCGGGAAAGTGGCCAACTCGGGAACCAGGAAAGCTGGGAAGCTGAAATTTTAAAGGGATTTTCGCAGCCTAAATACAACTTAAAAATTCCAGACCCAGCCCCCAGGTATGTTCCAGATCACGTGTGGCCCTGTGAAAGTTTTAGCGGGGAAATTGCCAACTCGGGAACCAGAAAAGCTGGAAAGCTGAGATTTTTGGAGAATATTCCCCGTCCAAATACATCTCAAAGGTTTCAAATTCAGCCTCCATGCACGCGTGGTTCTCGTGCTCGGACCTTTAAATTTTTGACGGGAAAATTACTCACTGAACAACTGGTCATTTTCAAAAAACGACCGCTAAACAGAAGTTGCTTATTTCCTTTTATGCAACATTTACGATGATTTGCGGTATTGAGCGCACAAGATAGGTGTGAAGAAACGACCGTTCATGCAGTTAACCTAATTACTTTAAGTTTGGTGCAAAAACGCATTATCGCACCGGCTCGCCCGGTCCGTTCCAGCCTGGGCTAACTTCTCGCCAGTGCCTACTTTTTTGCTTTGAAACCGAAGATCAAGGCTAGTGGCGTTCCGCATGTTTTGTGCATCAAAGAAATTTTTGACTGTTTTGATATTTTAGCAGCACATTCTAAGCGTGAAGAACATCCAAATTTTTGTATACCTGTCTCAACAGTACGTTATTCTGTCGGTCTCTTATCTGCGCTAAAAACATCTGGGTCTGAATTTCAGTGTCTCAGCGCAATTCAACACCTACTAGTTGACATTTTCGCGTTACTTTTAATGAATTTAGTAATTCAGTACAGCAGAATTTAAAGTCTTCATTTTAAATTCAGCTTTTTTTCTAACTTACTCCTTTTTCTCAAAACCGCATAGGCAATTTGATATTCCTGTCCCAGTTGTACTTTTAGAACAAAATTAGTTAGCCCTCTCGCGTATTTTTTCATTTAGACCAGTGACATCTCAATGAAATTAACCTCTTTGTCGAAATAACCAAATTCGTAATAGCGCGAGAAGCGTCGCGGATCAACGTCAAAACGTTGAGGAATATGAAAGCGCTTTAGTACGTTTTGAAGATCGTAAGACCCTGGATTTGTTGACCGCCGTTTTGTGTTCAGAAACGACCACACATATGAGCCAACTGAAAAGAGCATTTTCCAAAAAAAATTATAAATTTGTGGCGGACAGCTCTATATGAAAACGTTAATGCGTGACAGTTTTAATAAGAACCGACCTTGGTTAATAGTCTCATTACGGAGAATGCCCACGATATTTTGCACTATGTCATCGCTTGGACATTGCATGAGCTGCCGAAATGATTCTATGCGAACTTCAACATCCTCCTGTAAAACGAACTGCTTCTTTTTTTTTTTGAAAATCATGGAATATTGAGCATCTAAAAGCGTCGATGAGTTTCTGTGAAATTTGGCAAGACGCTAGCCTAGTGAAATTGCGCAATGTGACTGCTACTTCCATCACTCAGGGACACAGAACGTATAGTGCCAATTCACTTCTGTTTTTCTTGGGGAATACTAAATATTGAACCAGGTAGCAACACGCACCAGGGTTTCCAGTGCGATCATGCGCTTTTTCTTCGATTATGCAGCAGACCGATTGTTGATAGTACGAATGGCAGTTGCTTTATAGTTTAACACGTGCAATGTTGTTGACAATGATTTGATCTTTTACTGTATGTGGTGGGAAAGAGGAGTCGGATAACAAGTGGGAGGTAATGTTGCATTTTGAAGCCGCGTGAAATCCCATCCTCCAGAGTGCATGATTACTGTAAAGAAAGGTTTTTGCATCCCCAGTTTTGCCATATCCACATGCAAGATGAAGCTGATTTTACATATTTATTTTAAATTTTAATTTACATTTTATTTTACATTTTTAATTATGCGTTTTTATGCGTTTTTGCATATATGTAAATTGCAAAAACGCATATTGGGAAGAGGCTGT